CTCTCCAGAAACACAAAGGACTTGGTGTTAGCACCAGGATGTCAAGCTGATGCCTAGGTTTAAGGTTGTGTTGGAGCCGTGCCTTTACTAATTTTCCTAGTTAAAATGTGTGTCTCTTCCTAAATAAACCCAGTAGGTAAATGTGTTGTGTAATGAGATAATTTCCTAGAATCGCAAATCCTATTCCTCACAGAAGTTACACACCTAATTAGACACCTACTGTATGACTCTGTCACTCAAAGACCAGAGAGCACAGAGCATCGCCTCTAGGACTCAACAGGGAAAAAGGGCCATGAAGTCAGGTCCTCGTCACCAGGAGAAAGGGGCACCCAGAAGCCACAGGGTCTTGGGAGGTGATCCCTGGAGATTCAAGGCTTCCTTTTCAAACAGGAAATGGGCTGTCTGTGCTGTGGCATCGGGGATAAAGAGACTCAGGCTAGGACAGTGGAGAAAACTTCACCTGGAGCAAAGGCCTCGTGCACAAAACTGTGGGGCCTGCCCACATATTCTCCTGGAGTCCACGTAGGGCAGCTGGGCAAGTCCAGGTCACTTGAGTCCATCTGAGTCATAACCTGAAGGGCCATAAGCATCACACTAAGGAGACCTGTCTCAGAACACCTGGCTGCTTTCCTGTCTCTGCCCCCCACCAGCTGTGTGCCCTTGGTCAAGGGACTTGACTTCTTTGGTCCCACTATGTGCAGCTGGGGAGAACTGGCAACAGTACCTGCAGGGAGGAAGACCACACATCTCAGTTTGCTGCTGCCATGGCATTCCTTGCATTTAGTGGCCTCTTCTCCCAGTTGGACACTAAATTTAATCATCTCTATCCAAATTGTTGTAAAGACAAAGAAAGGTGGTCACCAGTGCTCTGCAGGGAGTGAGTGCTGTCTCAGTATTTGCCATCATGCTCTCCTGGACCTGGAAGATGTAGCACAGGGAGCAGCAGGGTGTTGAGAAGGTCCATAGGCCAACACTGTGTAGACTGTGTTCGAAAGAGAAGATCTGCATAAACTGGATCTCATCAAGCTCATTTAAGGAGTCAGAAAGATATCAGGTAAGAATAGATCCAAATGCAGTGCTTAACTTTCAACTTTGACCTTTCCCCTCGTATCTGAACGGGATGATCTCTGCGTCTCTTGGAGGATGGAGAGGAGCAGGGAGTTCCATCGACTGTAGTGGTCCTCCTAGGCCCCCAGGGTTTAATGGAAGAGCCCTCTCAGGTTTATAATTAATCGCTGGCAGCTGACATGCAGCTAGCCCTACTCTGTGCCCAGCCCTGTTTTGAGGACTTCTGGGCTGCAAGTCATTCAGGCCTCACAACAAGCCTAGGCCTCTTCCCCTTGTACCAAGAGACCCCTCAGTGACAGCCTACTGCAGGCTTGGCTAAAGGCATGGGAAGTGCCAAGATCAATAAACCTCTCACTGCCATCATGATGTCTCCAGGCCCAGGGGCTGTCGTGCATTTCGTCCTGAGAAAGCACCTCCCTGGCCAGCCTCCAGATGCTGGCAGGATCTTAAGGAAGAAGAGGCTCACCTCCAAGGACACCGTTGACCTCAGAAGCGAGGGCAAAGCCCGTTTACAGATTTTGGGGGAAAGTAAAGCGGAAAGTTCCTTGTGTCAAAATACCGTAAAAGTAACTTCTTCAACTAACATACAATGTGTGAGAAATTCAAGGATTATACACTAAAGATCCTTGTGTCAGTTTTATTCTCAGTGAATCACCTAGAATGACAATAAATCTCACTGAATGTTATTACTTTTATTAGGATGGCAAGACCTCAAATGAAGAAGATTAGTGTGGGTCCCCTTTAGGTTTTGGTTGAGCCCAAGTACTGGTCAAATAGAATTCTACCCGCACATTACGTCCCCCGCTGACTGGATAGCTCACCTCTACAGCATGGTCTGTCACAGCAGGTGGCCAAGAGATGTCACACCCACACGGAAACCAAAGTTGACTTCCATGCTCCAGTTTCTGAACTGAATTTGGGGACCTGAGTCTAAGGACCTTTGGGAGCAGAGACCATCAGACCAGCTTTATGAGCATGTGACCTTTTGGTTTATCTATTTCAGCTGTGAACACTTCTTTTAAATGAGTCTCTTGTGAGCCGAGTCATGGTTCTTGGACACCTGAGTGCAGTCATTGTGGGCTTTGGAGAAAACATGGAAGTCAAGAAACACAGACTCAGTGTCCATGGCAGGGAGTTGCTTCTGCCAGGAGGCCCAATGTCCAGCAGACAACAGGCCAGGCCCCATAACCACGGGGAACCAGCAGAGCCCTCCCTGGGTCCTGTTCAAGGAGGAAGTCTCCCATTCATTATGAATGTCATTCATTTGCCTTTGGAATGATGGCCAACAACAGTTAACTGGGAGAGAGTGCACACAGAAGAACACCACCTTTCTTATTCCTAGCATCTTCCTAAGCCAATATTGTGCTTGGCAACTTAGGGTGCAGCTGAATGATGGAAGAAATGGGCCCCAAAACATCCACAGAGAGGACAGTGCATTCAAGGCTCATTAACTATTAGCTCACCTCTCAGGGTCTCACCCATGTCTCTTTCTTTACTTGAAGCCACGATGGCTGTCTGGTTGCTCCATGCGGGCACCACTTACACTGATGAGTTCTTTCTCTCTCATGAGGTGTTCTGCCTGTCTGACACCGAGAGGCACACTCTCCAGGCTTCCCTTCCTTGCCGAGTGCCATTGTACTCAGGGCCTCCGTATCTGCTGTTGCCGCTTCTAGAAGACTCCTATCCTGCGGGTCCCTGGGAGCCACTGTCCACTGATGCAGGAAATGGCACACAACCTACGGAGTCCTGCCGGGATTGTCTGTCGGGAACTCCTTCAAAATACTGCCCTAGTGGTTTTCTGTTGTTCATGACACAATCTCTTTCCTTTATCTGATCTTAGAGGCCCGGTGCATGAAATTCCTGCAAAGGGGAGCTGGTGGTGTCCCTCAGCCCAGACTGCATCCTCTCCAATCTGGGATCCCTCAAAGCATCAGTAGTATTGTGCCTAAATGGGAAATCGGACATCCATCTCATAATCTAGGACTGCTGGCTCCCAACTGCTCATCTGTCTGGCTTCCGATTGTCCCTAACTTCTTCTGCCTGCCAGGCTGATTGCCCCTAACTGCACTCTCCTGCAGGCCTGGTCATCTCTAACTGCCCTCTCCTGAAAGCCTGGTCACCTCTAACTGCTCTCACCTGCAGGTCTGCTTCTCCTCAACTGCTTTTCTCTGTAGGCCTGGATCCCCAAAACTGCCCTTCCCTACAGGCCTGGTTGCCGCCAACTTCCATCCTCTGCCTACCTGCCCTCCTTTACTGACCTGATCATCCACAACTGCCCTCCCTTGCAGGCCTATTTCTCCCAACTGCCCTCCTCTGCTGGCCATCTTGAGGTGGCCTTCTGGTATCCACAAAGGGGCAACTATCTTTGTCCATAGGGGTCAGCCATTTTGTGTGTTGGAGTGGTGGGCAATTGGCATATTACTCTTTTATTAGATAGATTTCAATGGGAAGCTTGTGTATTGACTTCCAGTTCGAGTTAAGCTGCACAGGTGCAAGGTCTCAGTCTACCTCGTCTGTATATCTGAATCCGTGACACGAAGCACAGGACCCAGGCTCAGGAGAAGGATGGTTGTTATGAACGTGGATGCTTAAAGGGATGGATATATGGATGGATGTATGGATGGATGGAAGGATGAATGATGGGATGGATGTATGGATGGAAGGATGGATGAATGATTGGAAGGATGGAAGGATAGGTGAGTGGATAATAGGGGATGGATGGATGGATGAATGATTGGATGGATGTAGGGATGGAAGGATGGGTGAGTGGATGATAGGTGAATGGATAGGTTAATGGATTGAGGGATGGATGGGTGGATGAAAGGATGTATGTATGTATGTGTGCCTGGATGGATGCATGGATGTGTAGATGAATCCTGTGGGTTAGTCATGATTACCCTTCCTAGGCCCTGTGCTCGGCTTCTACATGGAGTGCCTGGCATTCATACAAAAGTCGCCTCGGTGTCATTCATGCTCATTGTGGAAATGTAAGCTCGGAAAGAGCTGCACTGTCTTTCCCAAGGTCACCTCGTGGTTAGCGGTGGCATCCAAGATGCAAATCCACATCTATACGCACGCACCCAGATATCTCCCACCATCCAGTGCTTCCTCCCTTAAGCATCAGGAATTCTACTTCTCACATCATCTCCTGAATGAGTGGAAGGAAAACCCTAAAGCTAACAAAACTGAACAAAATGTAACTCTGCATTCATAATTTTCTACATTCACAACATTCATAAATTTCTAGAGGTGGCTTAACTAAGTGAGATCGTCTTTGTACAAACAACCTTTAACCAAGGTTGGAAGCTATTGCTATTTCCCAGCAAAAGGCACCTGACTTAGTCCATGGGTGAGGAACATGTGCCCTCCACAGGTGCTGGCTGGTATTGCACCCAGCCCAGGTGCTGGGTGAGGCAGGAGGCCCAGGAAGAGAATGTGAAGATCTCTGTGCCTTATAGAAGAAGCAGAAGAAAACAGAGGAGTAAGGGGGCTGGAGGGAGAAGAGGAGGGGAGGAGACAGGTGGACGGGGAGGGAGAGCTGGAGGAGGAGGAAGAGGTAAATGAGGACCCAATATTAATAAAACAAGAATGACAACACAGACGCATAATGTTGTAGTAACTTACTGTATTTAGCAAGCATTTCAGCATTAATTTTATGTAATTTCATTTCCATGATTGCCGATATGAAATCTATGAGGGTTTTACAGGCTCTGACTCCTTGGTTTCTACAAACAGAAAGGCGGGGCTCTAGATGATTCTTCCTGTCCTTTCTGGGCCCGATGCCAGGTCCATCCTGTGACACATTCCATCATCTGTGGGAGGGACTAAGTGGCCACCAGAAGAATAAAAGGAGGGTCGGGGCTCTCACCTCCAAAGTGAGTCCTTCTTCCCTGCCACGTCCGAGTGACCAGCCAGCAGCAGCTGCCTGAGCCATGAAGCTGGTGATAGTGCTCATGCTGACCGCCCTCCCCCTTTTCTGCTATGCCGGTGCGTATGACAGCCCCAGGCTTTCTGGGGAGGTAGGTGTCAGGGCACCTGGGGCAGAACTCCTGCTCCCCCAGCCCCAGCCCAGAGTGTCTCATTTCCCTGCCTTCTTTTTGGCTCCATCGTGTTTAGCTCTCTGGGTTGTGTAAGCCAGGGAGTTGGGGGCTTTGGGTGCGGGAGGCGGGACAAGGAGGCTTATGTCCTGGGGCCAGAGAACACCCTAGACCCTGAGTTTGCTCTCCCTGAAGGGAGGACTCAGACCATTGCCCATAAGTTCTCTGAATGTCTGTTTCTCCTGGGAGGTAAGATGGCCATCGTCCTGGCTACGCCCAGCAAGGAGGTGGTGCCTTTGTGTGCTTTCTTCCCAGGTTCTGGCTGCCCAGACATAGAGTATGTGATTAGAAAGACCATTGATCCCCAAGTGTCCAAGGCTGAATTCATCCAAGACCTTGAAAAGTACATCACTGGTGGGATTACTGAGATGGCCCTCAGGAAATTTAAGCAGTGTTTTCTCGACCAGAGCGACGAAACCCTGGCTAACGTTGGCAAGCTGATGGTAATGGTGGCTTCTTCTTCCCGCTCTGGCTGCTCTGGCTGGGCACCAGTGGGCTTTCAGTTCTCTATTAACTACTTTTTTCTTAGTCACTACTTTTTAAGATGTATTTTTATTGATTTCAGAGAGGAAGGGAGAGGGAGAGAGCGAGAGAAACTTCAGTGATGAGAGAGAATGATGGGTTGGCTGCTTGCTGCACGTCAACTACTGAAAATCGAGCCCACAACCCATCATGTGCCCTTGACTGGAATCAAACCCATGACCCTTCAGTCCGCAGGCCAGTGCTCTATCCACTGAGCCCATCCTGCTAGGGTGATACTGGCGTCTTGAAAGCAAGTGTTGGTCACGCTTCATGTCCTCTCAGGGAATGCAGTTGTTGGGAGTGTGAACAGTCTGACATCCGGAGAGCCATGCCAGGGGCGGGGCTGCTGTGCCTGCTCACGGGGAGGAGTCTGTATGTGAGAAAGGCCACGGGGGAGGAGAGCGTGTGGCATAGGCTTGCCTACCCTTCAGCGCCCAAACCTCTGATTCTTGAGAGGACCCTCTAGTTTAAGGATGAGAAACACACATAGGAAAGCATTTTAAAGCATTTTCTCAAGCCCTAGGCCAGTGGTCGGCAAACTGCGGCTCGCGAGACACATGGGGGTCTTTGGCCCCTTGAGTGTGGCTCTTCCACAAAATACTACGACCTGGCGAGTCTGTTTGGAAGAAGTGGCGTTAGAAGAAGTTTGAGTTTAAAAACTTTGGCCCTCCAAAGAAATTTCAATCGTTGTCCTGTTGATGTTTGGCTCTGCTGACGAATGAGTTTGCCAACCACTGCCTAGGTGGTTTATCTCAGGGCATAGAGCTTTGGCCTGGGGACTGAAGGGTCCTGGGTTTGATTCTGGTCAAGGATTCATGCTTGGGTTGCGGGCTCAATTTCCAGTAGGGGGTGTGCAGGAGGCAGCCAATCAATGATTCTCTCTCATCATTGATGTTCCAATCTCTCTCTTCCTTCTTTTCTGAAACCAATAAAAATATATTTTTGGAAAAAGCCTTTTCTCGAGAGAGCAGAGAGTTACACGTCAGCAAGAGCCCACTCTCAGGAGCGCGGTGCCCAGGCCCTTCGAGCACCACGTCTGCCAGTGTGCGTGGCTGGACGTCCTGGGCAGGAGGAGGGCCCTGGAGTGGAAACCGTGGCTGAGAAGCGCCATGGGCGGTGGGATCGTTGAAAACCAGAGTCAGTGTAAACAATGAGACCGTCTTTCTATTTAGAGCAGATAGGGCTCAGTTCTTTCCTGGGGTTCATTCCCCCCAAATAGCCGTGGGAACAGGCCAGAGCAGCCAGGGGAGCGCTGGCGTCAGCAGAGTCACACACTGTGTGTGACGAGGTGCTTTCTGACGCCGGCTGCTGACGAGCTGGGGAGCTGAGGAATGTGGGGAAAGGCACTGCTGGGCTGTGTGCGGTGGCCAGTCTCTGAGGCACAGGCAGAGCAGAGTCGCCGGGGAGGGGGAAGAGAAAGGGAGAAGCACAAGGCCTGGCACTGCTCTTTGGCGAGAGGAGAGGGTGCTGGAGGAGGGGACCGTGACAAGACGAAGCTGTACATGGAGGAGGGAAGGGTCCTGCTTGTGGGACAGGCCTTCACCGTGGTTCCACCTGAAAGCCTCAGCACCCTCCATGGGGGTGACGGCCTTCTCTTTATAAACATGGGTCAAACAAGCCCTTCGAGTGAGAGTTTCCTCAGCTTTGTGGCTACAAGGACGTGGCCGGCATCAGGGTGTAGGCCCACAGCCCAACACATGCACATGGGGCTGAGACATGGAGCAGGGGCAGCACGGCCTGGGCATGGGAGGCCTCGTTCACTGTGGAGGAATCATGCAGGGACCAGCTCCCGGGGCCTTGGGGGGATGGCCGGGTCTGAGCAGTGAGGCCTTGGCCTCAGACTGTGCCTCCTCAGCCCCAGAACAAGGAGAGATCCTGGCTGAACCCCCGCCCGGATCTCTCCGTGGAGAGACGACAGGGAGAGGTCATGTCTGTGCTTAGGATGGCTTGGGGAGAGTGGGAGGGAGTAACTCTGTCTGTTTTTTAGCAAACCATATACAACAGCGAGCAGTGTGCCGCCTACTAGCCCACAGACCTTCCTTGGACCACAGAGAATGGCCGGACGGCAACTTTCCTCTACTGAGACCACAGCCTAGCTCCCCTCTGGGCCTTTTGATTCTAAAACCGCAAGACATTGTTGAAACCACCTGTACATTCATTTCAATAAAGCACCTGCACACCAGCGCTCTCTTTGCTTACTGACCTGAACGGGCATCAGGAGACTCCCCACACTGCGCTGCGCACACGCTGGGCCCCGGGCACTCAGTACAGGCTCGTGGCTGAGACATGGGATCTCCCGGGCGCCCTTCCCCTGACCATTCGAAGCCCAACAGGACCCTGACCCTGGGAAAGTGCCTCTCACCACTTTCAAGGACCCTCTGGGCTGAGCGCAGGTCCAGGACCTCCATGTCCTCATGTCCACACTGCATCCTTTCCCAGGGCCGGGCTCCCCTCTGGGTGATCCCACTCCCTGACCGAGGGGCAGCAGTGAGAGAGGGGACTCCGCAGAGCAGGGCTGCATCCTGGCTGAACGCCCTCCCACTTCTCCAGACACCCCCGACCCCTACACCACTTGTCCCAGGCAAAGAACCCTTTTCCCAACCCACATCTTATGACTTACACATCACACACACATATATGCACACACACACACACACATGTACACAAAAGCACACACACATGCAGTTCTTCAGTGAGAACTGCTGGGCCTGCAGTCTTGGCCTCTGAGGCCTGTGGGAAGTTGCCTTTGCTCCTGCTGGGCCTGGCCATGTGAAGAGGTGCTTGTCCATTTGCAGTTGACATGGACATTGTGGTGGAGCTGCTGACGGCCATGCGTTCTGAAAGTTGCTGAGTTGAAAGTAAATGGTACCTCAGATGAAAACTCTGTATGTTTTCACATCTAAACCTGACGAGCACAGGGTTCTGAGTGGACACAGACTGGACATACTGATCTAGTCCGCTCAGGCTGCTTCTGGAGCTACATAGACTAGGAGGACTAAGCAAACATTTATTGAGACTGAAAACTCCAAGGAAAAGGTGCCAGCACAGTCGGAGTCTGAGGAGGCCCTGCCCAGCCCACCCATATCCCAATTGGGGGTGGGGCTGGCCTTTCTCCCAGCAGAACCCCAGCCATGCCTGAATTTGTAACCTGGCCTCTAGTAAAAGAATAAGCAGAAGAAGAAAAATAGCAAAGGTGGGGCAGAAATCAATGTCATTGGGAAAAGTTATAGAAAACATTTAAACCAAAAGCAGGTTCTTAGAGAAGCTCAAAAACAATTCATTCACCTGTCTAGACTGAACAGAAAAAGAGAAAGAAATGACCAATGCAAAGAATGATGGAGGTAAAACCACTACTTTGACTAAGATCAAGTGTAAAACTATTTTTAGTGATGACTTGTAGAAAATCTCAGAGTGTCTACCAAAGGATTAAGCGAGTTTAGCATGGTTGCAGGATATAACATAAATATACAAAATGTTTTATATTTCTAGATTCTTGAACAGAAAGTGCAATTCACAGTTATGTCTAATATTATTAAAAATCTTAGGAATCCTATCTAATAAAGTGGGAGTATGCTAATTGACTGCCAGATCCTCACAAAGATGGCAGTGCCTAAAGCCAATAAGGAGAGAATATGCTAATTGACTGCCATGCCCTGAAAGATGATGGCACCCAATCCCCTCAGCGACCTGGCCATCCAGGACTGGCCCCAGGTGCAGGCAAACGTTGGATGTTGTCTGCCCATCCGCCCAGGGCTGCCTGAGGCTCACCTAACCAGGGCCAGCCAATGCTTGCACTTTTGGCAGTGGCAGCAGCAGAGATGTGATGGGGGCACCACCTAGCCCTGATGGCTGGTTTGCTTCCCACCCCTGAGGGTGCCAGGAACCAATTCCAGCATGTAATAATTACAAAAGGTTTGCCAAAAGGTTGGTGGAGCTTGGGCAGTTCAAGGGTGAGCCACATATGTAGTTTACCTGTTGGAATGGCTAAATGGTATCTTCCCCGAATCTGAATAGGATTATCTGCTACCAGGCAGCTCAGGGCATTTTATTGCCTCCAGTTGGTCAAACACCTGAACAGCTGTAGGCTATTCCTCAAACTGACAATGCTTCTGTATACGCTTTGAAACCTCACATTTTGAAGTGTATATCTCCTCCTTGCCTTAGGACAAATTGTCCTAATAAATAGTATGGGGTCCTAGACAAGAAAGTAGTCTTCTAGCTCCTTCAGCTGAAGCTCCTCTGACCTCCAATGCCTTTCCAAATGATCTTTTGTCTTTGGACTCCTCCTTGCATCTATGCATCAGCCCCTTTCTCCAGAATGCTGAACCCTTTGTAAGGCTGGGCAAAGAACCCTGGCACATGGCGCCTGAACGAGACACACCAGTACATGAGGGCTCCCAGACTGTGAGATGGGGCAGCGGGGCTGAGAGAACCCCACTTCCAATGAATGAATTTTTATGCCCCGGGCCTCTAGTAAACTTAATAAAAGACACGAAAGGCCTGTACAATAAAATATAAAATATTGCTGAGAGGAATTCATGAAGACCTACATGGAAAACACAGGGTTGGTGGATAGGAAGCAATATCCTTAAGAGTCAGTTTCCTCCACGTTGATTTATGGGTTTCAGGTGATGCACTCTCAACCAAAGTCCAGATAGGCTTGTTTTATTTTGGCAAGTTGATGACAAATCTGGTTGCAAAGTTCATATTTAACTGCAAAGGACCTACAATAGCCAAAATAATTTAGAAAAATGAGAAAAATTTGGAGGAGCAATGCTACATGACTTTAAAATGTATCACAAAACTACAGTAGTCAGGACAGCATTGTATTGATGTAAAGATGAACAAAAGATCTAAGGAACTGTAACGTCCAGAAACAGAACTCTGTCTAGTGGTCACATGGCTTTCCACAAAGGTGGATGAGCAACCCCCTGTGGAAAGGATGCATTTCAACAAATTGTTATGACACAACTGGATATAATAAAAATTCTCAGCTCCACCAGTACATCAGATTTAACTCCTGACCTTAAATCATAGGACTCACAAAATGTAAAATCTAAAAATATAAAACTCCTAAAAAAAA